ATTGGTTGTAATGAAACTCATAAAGACTGCCTCTTACTGCACAATACACTTTGCTTTCCGATTTTTGATATTTGGTAATATTCCTCAACTTCTACTTTTAACTTTGTTTTTTAATTAATGTAATAATGTATGCAAACACCATATAATAACTCTTCTGTTAAGTAAAAGTCCGTTAACCGTCGCCAGTTTAGCAAGGAGAAGCTCTTAGGATCTACCTGAGAAGTTTTCGAGAATCAAAAGAGCTGAGTTTGCCCGTCTCTGTTGTAAATTAGAGAGAATTTGTATTTTTATGGAGTGAAAATACCCAGAGACTGTTCAAATGACCATTTGTTCTATTAAGAAAAACAAGGCAATAGGTTGGCAGAAACAAATATCGTAGTCCCACTACATATTACTACTTGAAAATATTTTTTTATCCCATAAGCACGAATTATCGTATGTTTAATAGAAATTTGAATTACGATATCCTACATCGTATTTGAAGCAAAATTATCGTATGTCCCCATAATTATCGTACAGGTTGGCAACGCTGTAATTAACCCAGCGCGAAAGCTACCACATGAAGCAGTGATGACGTACAAAATGCTACGCAGAAGCATCTAATTAGATTTCTGCGACGGTTCGCGGCAAAAGTTTCGTAATTTAACCAATCGCGTAACTAGTTTCATCCCCGTTTTACAGAATTGAATTTATGAGCGTTTTTGCTTCATCGCCTGATCACAACTCCAAAAATAACTGATTACAAGAGCGAGAGAGACAGTAAAAACATAAAGAAAGAGAGCATTACAGAAGAAGATAATGACACCTTATTTCTAATGTAAATTGAATTACGGATGTTCTTGAATATACATTATTTAAAGATGAGACAAAGACCTGCTTTAAAAATAAAATAATAAAAACAGAAAATAGAGTAAAATAAAGTAAAATTTATTTAATTTCCAAAGGATGACGTGGTGAATGTATAGTTTCGTTACGCGCGCGCATATTAGGGGAATACCAATGAAATAGTTTAACTATTATTTGCAATAAATAATTTACCGTTCATTAATTAACCAGAATTTGTTATCTAATAAGGCAGTTATATATTTTAGCGTTTAAAAAGAGGTAGGTAACTTTGATAGCACCTAAACAGAACTTATTATGCAGAATTTGTTGTTTTAAGATATTGGTGCCTGTCGGCTACTAATTTCAGCAGAAATATATGCTATTTCATCTCTTCTTCTTTTTTAAAATCATCTAAATTTACAAGTTGACTTTTTCTTTTATCTGTATTGTCAGAAAATGAGCATGTTTGGGCAACTTACAATTTCACCTTCTTCTACTTTCGTTTTAATAAAATATCTAAATTTAAAATCACCTTTTTGGTATTATTTTGCTTCTTAGATAAAAGCAACTACCTGTCAAATTACAATTACTTAGTATTAATTCATTTTTCATTATGATGTTTCTACTGAAAAAGACATAATTTATTTCTTATTTTTTGTAATGCAAATAACAACGCAGGCTTAAGAACATCAAGAAAAACATACACTCCAAATAAGTCATAATTTTTTAAATCTGATCATTATTATACTTATTTGGCTCACTTGCGGTTATCTTCTTACTGTTTTTAAGTTTTTTCAGTGGATTTCAGATAAATCTCCAGTTGCTCTCCCTCATGGGCAATTGATTTTAATTGCTCTTTATTAATCTGTAATGGCATTTCTTTTAACAATTGTTTATTGTCTGCAATATAAACCAAGGTTATGGCGTTTATATAGTATTTAAAATGTCTATTGTTCTCAACATCTATGGAATTCCGTTTAACGTTAATCTATTGTATACGGCTTAAATTGACATCGTGTCTGTTGAATGTGACCTGTCATTATGTAAACTTGACGTTTTTCGCCATTTTATAATTCAGGTGTTTTACTTGCTTTTTGGTGCCTGTTTTTAAATGTGTTTAATCCCTTCCTTAAGCAATAATGTAATTTACATGTTCTTTTCGTTCATTTCTGCAGATCGTTCATCAAATGAGTTCAGTTTGGTCGCACTGAAACATGTGATGTCCATATGGGTGTGGTCTTTGGTAGAATATATTCTTGATTTGCTGTTTCGTCTTCGCCTTGTAACACCTTGCAGTTAATTTTAAACCCATGAGGGAGAGCAACTGGAGATTTATCTGAATTCCACTGAAATAACAAATTTTCTGCTACGATGTTCCTGGAGTTGGTTTGCTTTTCACACCTGTAAACTTTGCAACATTACGTTCTACAATTAATTAAGGTGAGAATACTTGATACAATTGATTTTAATTGCTCTTTATTAATCTGTTACCACCGTATCTGTTTCAGATCGACGTTGGAGAAGACAAAGATGACCCCGTAGTTAAAATAGTTCTTTATTTTGCATGCTCTATCTAGTAGAATTTATTAAGTTCATTATATTCAAATTAATTTTTTATTTTGCATGTGTTTTTTGTAATTAATTTGATTTAGTTTTTATTTTGCATGCTTATTTTTGTTCATTTTGTTTTAAATAATTGTTGATTGTAGATGTTTTTTTTTTATGTAGTAGTAGTGTAGTGGTAGAAATAACACGTTTCGTAGTTGTAGTATAGTCTAACCTTGCTTACCTCTTCGCTTAGCTTACTGCATATTCTTCCTAATTTGCTTTGCATTTACCCTACGAGTTCTACATGATTCAACGTTTCGTTATCGTGTGTGTTTCTTCTCACCCTTGTGGAATTAGGGAGGGCCTCCCCGAACGACTTCCCTTGGGCTTAGCTATTTAGTTGATCTTAAAAGTGTCTTATACACTTTTCGCGAGTCTACTCTAGCGT